CAGTGACTCCATGTGGTAGGCACCAAAGTGGCGAAGTCTGATGTGGTGTTAGCGCTGGGCAGAAGCAGTGCAGATGTTCCGATGTCTCTTGCTCTGTAGGTTGCTTACAGCTTCTACAGATTGCATTGTATGGCATTCATTGCGTGCGAACCGATCGCCCAATGTCCCGTGGTGACTGCCGTGAACCTGCTAATATCCCGCATTCTGTTGGATAGCAGTTCACTGGTTCGTTTTTTGTCGTACCTCGGCCATCATTCCCTCGACCTTCTGTGATCGCTCTTACCTAGCCATTCTTTATTAGCTATCTGCTTAAAGTGATCCTTGTCTGGATCGCTTTTAGGGAGATCGGTAATTCGAAATCTGAACTTAGCCCTGCCGAGCCTGCACTGGCGTGTTCGTCTGCTTTCTCATTTCCTGGGATCTCGTTGTTTTCCGGTACCCATGTTACTTGTACCTTATTTATGTCAGCAAGTCTATTAAGGGCCTTCTTGCATTCTGCCACTAGTCGTGAGTTCGTTTTCACGGCAGCTAGAAATTTTATAGCCGCTTGGCTATCCGAGTAGATTCGAAATCTGTTGCCCCTGAGGTTCTGCCTTAAGGAAAGTTCGACTGCTTCTCTTATGGCTAGTAACTCAGCCTGAAAGACCGTCGCTGAGTTAGAGAGATTGAAAGCCTTTCAAATTCCCCAATTTTCAGCGTAGATCCCAGCCCCTACGCCGCATCTCATTTTTGAGCCATCGGTGTAATGGGACACCTCATTCTCCACCAGTACTTTGCTCCTACTCCAGTCTTCCCTTGATGGGTATGAGGTCGAGAATGCGTTCCCGTATTTCATCTCCGCGATCATGTAGTCGGTTTTAACGTCTGTGTTAATGCCGCTGCTCCCAAGAATCTTGCCGTGCTCGGCGCCGTATTCCCTCCAGCAATTGCTTGCCTTCAGTCTCACTGCGCTCTGTGCAATGTCCTTCACGAACACTTCTATCGGCATTATATTCAGGATAGTGTTGAGAGCAGTCGCGGGGCATGAGCGCATTTCACCCACGGCCCCGCACTCGCTGCCCGTTGTAACCGTGTCATCTTCGTTCTGTTGTAAGCCCTTGTTAGTGCCGGCCACCATACTAGGGGCGATAATACCCCGCCCTGAGGTGTGCCTCTCTTCACAGTCCGCGTGAGGTGAGTGCCACTCAGTTCGGCTGTGATCGTCCTGCTCTTTAGCATGAACCCAATCCACTCTCTGATGTCTCTCTCAATACCTAACAAGTTGAGTTGAAGATATTTGTTAGGTCCTCCACCTCCTTGTCGAGTGCCTTTGCAGTGGATATAGTCTTGATCCTCCTGCCGCTTACGGGGGTTCCTTCTTGGCACCTGTTTCTTAACTGGTGTCGTTATTCAAAGAAAATGTACCTATGGTCTGAGAAGGAGTGTTCTGTCGATACCCTTTCTCGACTCTGTAATTATTCTGTTCTATTTGTAAGGTGAGATCAAACACCTCTTCCCAACCTTGAAAATTTTCAGTGCTCGGAAAGATGAAGGTCGGCGTATTACCCTTATTACATACCGTAACGTTTCCACAGATAATATTGTCAAAGAGTGACTCACCTCTATCGTTTGTCTCTGTACTCCCCCAGAGCGTGTGCCTTGCATTCACATCACACCCGAGCATCATGAGATTCCGCCCATTGACTACCCTCCGTGACTCCGCTCCCATCCGCCGCCACGAATCTGGCCACTGCTATGTCAGGTGTGCTGAGATTGGGACAGAGGAAAGCATTAAAATGATTCTTAATTACAATGCAAGCTCTCGACCTACCATTCGAGTTTGTGCACAGTAGTGTGTATCCTTGGATTCTCAGTCCAGCGACTTGCCCGTCCCTGGTCCAAGGCTCCTGTATCAAACCGATGCCGATATCCCTCTCCCTTAGAAGGATCGTGAGATTAGCTGACGCTTGCGAGCTGCGCTTCAGATTAATCTGCACGATTCTCGACATCGATGTTGGTGGGGGTGGCGTCAGGAGATTTGTCGTCGATGACCATGTCGTCCAACAATTTGTTGGTGTCATCGACCTCCTCCAGAATCTCGTCCGCCTCGGCCAAGAAGACCTTAATCTTGGCCTTCCTGATGCCGTACCGGACCTTGTGGTCATTTGCCTCCAGCTGGGGCAGACAGCGCTGGTTAATCAGCAGGAGGAAAGACTGGCTCGCCTTCATTTCCTGCTTTGCTCTGAGGATGGTCCAGTCCTCTGTATGGATGTCTGGGTTCTGGGCCCTCAGACAGGCAATCACCCTTGCATGGTCAGTTTGCCCCCTCCAGATGCGAGCTTTGGGTCTCCTTGGGATCTCCCTGGCGTGGACTAGCCTAATCTTAAGGCCAGCCCATGTGTCGCTGATCTTAGCCACACACTCCGCCAGGGAGCTTCGGGAGAACCCGTCGTCACCTGATGACCCGGTGCCCTCTGACCACGTCTGAGGAGTCGAAGGAGGGGATGGGGCCGGTCGGCATGCTGACCAACATGTCGGTTACCATGTCGGTCAACTTGGCCTCGATCTCCTCCCACTTCTCCGACAGCAGGCGACCGTCGTCATGGAGCTCGTCCACCAGGGCCATAGCCAGACTGTGTCTGGCCACCAAAGTTAGACGCACGCGGCTTACCCTGTGGGTCCTTCGCTCTCTTAATAGAATCATCCAGGAATTTGAGACGGAATCAGGCAGTAATCGTAGGGGAATTCAGAGTACAATCAGGTAGGACTCTCAAAGGAGTACCAGGCGAAATCATCAAGGAATCATAGGGGAATTTAGAGTAGAATCAGATAGGAATCCCAGAGGAAAACGTGTAGAAGATCCCCGGAACCCACCGCCCCATAGTAAATATCTGACTCAATTTATAATACATTTTTTATTTATTTATTCATTTAAAAAACTTTAAAATTTGTTCAATTATTACCATAATTTTTCTTAGCATAACTTCTTGCATTTCCCCTAAACGTATGTTACCGGTCTTTCCTTCCGGCTGTTGCCTCGTCAATTTATAATTAAAATACATATGTATGCTAGAATCAAATGGACAATATTTTCCATAAATATACACACCAATTAAGGAGAAAACAAATACTGGATATATAATGGCCTTCCGTTCACACCGTCTAGGTTAAAAAAGAGTACAGGTTCAAAACCAATTCTGGAAATAAATTTATTAACTGAATACATATAAGTCACTTACCCTTTAACAATATTTAATAAGTTACATTGGAAAACACTTGTGAATACTTTAGCTCTCATTAGAGATGCGAAAAAATCGATTTCGTTAAATAATATTTTTCATCATCTCAATCTAATTTCGGAACCGCTGCTCCGAATCCCTTCAAAAAAAACATTTAATTGTTTGGCAGTATCCGAACACGGGTAGAATTTTTATTGCCTACTTTGTTTCGGAGTTCTCTTACCGAAACCCATGAGATTTGTTTTTGTTTTTAGAACATGACACCAGGAATCGGACAGGAAAGGAATTTTGGTACTGAGGGGTTCATTCACCAATACATATTATATTTACTGTTTTAAACTCACAGTTTTGCATTCTTTTCTCTATTTTTAACGGTCGTTTGTATTGCAGCTATATGATAAAATCGTCCAATTTTAATTAAAATTTAAAAAATTTAAATTTTACACAAAATTGTTGATGATAATCTGTTGAATTCTGAAAAAATTGTAATTTTGAATTGAGTTTCTCTGTCTGTCCTATGGTAGCTATATGGCAGATATGTATGTATATGTTATTAGTCCGATTTTCATTAAATTTTACAAAAACATATAATCTATAGTTTGATGAAAATCTGTTGAAAACTGAAAAAATTATAATTATTAATTTTATTAATTTCTCGATCGTTCTTATGGCAGTTATATGTTACAAAGAGGTAGTCAAAAGTTTTTACACAACCAAATTCACAGCCAAATTTTTTCAGTTGTTTTTCTTGTTGTTGTTGACCGATCTCTTTATTGCGTAGACTGATCTATGCCGCAGCAAGCCGAAAGGGAATTCGAAAGTTAACGGTTCATAGAAAAAGGCTATAAGTAAAAGAATAGATGCACCTACAGTGTAATATTTACACATAATTTGTTTTCGTCTTGAGTTTAATGCTATTAAAATGTAATCTTTTTTTTAGCGATAGTCTCATAAGTTACTTTATTAATAGTTAAAAAAATTTGTTTTGGTATCGATGAAGTCTTTCAATTGGTTGGAATTGAGTTTATTAAGCTTTATCCAAAATAAACAGACATATTTTCTTTTGCTTGTAATATTGTCCTTTAAACCGTTATATTTTGTTTTCGTTTTCTGCTTGTTTCTGAATAGATAAATTTATGCGATAAAAAATAGGAATCGGTCAACAATAAGATAGCTTCAAAACGGAGAGACTAGTTGATGCTGATCAAGATTACCTTATATATACCTTATATGGTCGGAGGTGCCTCCTTCATTGCGTTGCAAACTTCTGACTAAAATTATAATACCCTGCAAGGGTATAAAAAGAGGACCACTAGTGCAGCGTATCTAATTTATCTTATTTTATTTTAAGCTAGATTTTACATATTTTAAAATCGAATAGCATATGGAAGTTGTTAACTATGCTTATGCCTTAAGTATACTTAGTTTATTTTATTGTTCATTTAGCAATATATTATTAATATTATTTTTACTTAAGCGTATTACCGACATAAGATACTTTCGCTTAAAGAATGTTGGCAGCGAAATATCCTGCTCGGTATCCAGTGTGACCAGATAACTTATATAAAAGGCGCGAAAAGGATTATACTGACAGCTAAAGCCAGCTACGTTTTTAATTCAACTTTTTAAAGTTAAAATAAAATGAAAAATGTTCCATATAGTGTGAACGTTGCATTAATCCTCAACAAGAATTCATCTGTTGATAAATAAATGGTATCAAACTTCAATTGGCACGTGTATTGGCCTTGAATATTTACTTTTTTACAATAAGCACCCTGTTTTTTTATAACGACGACTCTTAGGTACTTCCAATGCAGATATTTACTCAGTCAATGTTTGCTAATATATACCTCCAAAGCTTTTTAACATTTATTCGATACAAATATAAGATTCGATATGTTCATTAAATTCGTTTTGAATTTAGACAATGAACTGCATAAATTTGCCACTGTATAAGATAAACAATTATTCGTTGCCGACGCCATTTTGTGCACTCATTAATTGAATATTTTATAGATGGAACTTGGAAAAAAAAGGTAATTTGTATGACTATTTTTTTGAATTTTTACCATATACATGTATGAAAAATTTGCTTAGGGAATAGGCATATTTTCCTATAAACAGTTTCTGAATTTCTTTAAAAACAAATGGAAAACATCAAAATGACTTCTTTTATACCTATGTACATTTGGAAAATATCTTAGTTTTTGTTATACCATAAACACTTTTTTAATTTTTTCATGTGAACATAGTATGTATGTACTTATATTTACTTTACTTATATACATATATGTATGTATATTGTATTATATTATGAATATTGTTGCGTGAAGTATAAGTACATATACTCAACTGCATATCTCTGCGTAGACCCCAAAAAAATTTCAAATTCAAACTTTAAACACAAACTGTTCAGTTAATCATTAACATTTTAGACAATTTTTTTCTAGCATACTCTTTATTAAATTGTCTTCAATGACGTTTTTTTTCTTTTTAGAATTATGAAACAATGCTTTATATTTTATTTTTAATTTTAAACTTAATACTGTAAAAAAATGACCCCGCAAAAGTCTGCGTGCAGCTGACGAAAAACTATTTTAACTTAATAATATACTTATTTTAATATCTGGTACGGTATCCATTCCTGTGTACAACCTCCGTAAGGCGTCTCGGCATGGAATCCACCAGATTTTTTGGCTCCTCGCCTGTTATTTTGATCCTTTCCTCCACAATGGCATCCTTAAGCATTTTTTTCGACTTCATTGTGTTTCCGGATATTCCGATCCTTGAGATGCCACAAATGCTCAATTGGGCTAAAGTAAAGCTTTGTATTGTGTGCCGTGTGCTTCGGATCATTGTCCTTTTGCAACCAATATTCATGTTCCAACCCTAATTTTACAGGACTTTTTGGGAAATTGTCTACCAAAATTGGTATATAGATACCTTGGTCCATATACATAATGATACAGTATTAAGTTTAAAATTAAAAATAAAATATAAAGCATTGTTTCATAATTCTAAAAAAAAAATACGTCATTGAAGACAATTTAATAAAGAGTATGCTAGAAAAAAAAATTGTCTAAAATGTTAATGATTAACTAAACTGTGTTTAAAGTTTGAATTTGAAATTTTTTTGGGGTGTACGCAGAGGTATGCGGTTAAGTGTATATACATATATATATGTATATATATATATATGTATATATATATATATATATGTATATATATATATATATATATATATATATATATATTATATATATATAAGTAGGTAGATGTATGTATGTGTATGTGCATTTATACAACGAATATTGCAATATAAGAAAAAATACAATTTATAATAAACTTTCTTTTTTAGGTATAAGGGTGGTCGGACACCTATTAGGTCCAGTGATCGGCGACGTCCTCAAAGTGTTTCATCTTTATCTGCATTATCGCCAAGAGTTGTTTTATCTAGATTGGAACCCAGGGATTTTGAACGTCTTCGACTATCTTACAAAGTTGCAATTGACCAAAGAAGATCTAGAAGCTGCCGTGGCATGAACATGGGTCAAAAAATTAGTGGTGGAGTCAAAACAGTTAGTCGTAATGATTCACAATCTACCTTCAAACCAATAATACCAAGAGAGTTACAAGCTGATTTTGTCAAACCAGCTCGCATAGATATTTTGCTTGATATGCCGCCAGTTTCTAGAGAACTACAACTAAAACATTCATGGAATTCTGAAGATAGGTCATTGAACATTTTTGTAAAAGATGACGACAAATTAACGTTTCACAGACACCCAGTCGCGCAAAGTACAGATTGTATCCGCGGCAAAGTCGGTCTCACAAAGGGATTGCATATTTGGGAAATTTATTGGCCAACAAGACAGAGAGGAACCCATGCTGTTGTTGGTGTATCTACAGCTGACGCGCCTTTACATTCAGTCGGATATCAAAGCTTGGTGGGGTCGACTGAACATAGTTGGGGATGGGACCTTGGCAGAAATAAGTTGTACCATGACTCCAAAAGCTGTGCGGGTGTCACATATCCAGCTATTTTAAAAAACGACGAAGCTTTTTTAGTTCCAGATAAGTTCTTAGTAGCTTTAGATATGGACGAAGGAACACTCAGCTTCATCGTTGACCAGCAATATCTAGGTATTGCATTTAGGGGACTCAGAGGAAAAAAATTATATCCAGTTGTATCAGCTGTCTGGGGTCACTGTGAAATAACAATGCGTTACATCGGTGGATTAGATCGTGAGTATTAATTAATTTATTATTATATAAAAAAAAGGAAGCTATCTTCGGCACGTCGAAGTTATACCCTTGCAGTTTAATACTGCGATCATTAAGGGTTTATAAAATTTTGTCAAATGAAAAGTAAAACGGGAATTTGATAAAACACTTTTACATATCATGACTTTAATATTAAGATTTATAAATGAACAGTATGGATCCATATTCTTTGATAGTATCCCTGTGAAGTGTATTCTTATGAGGGATAACAATCCAAATCGTTCTTCAATCCAAATCATCACAAGGTTCAGACCCGAACCCTATCAAGAAGTATGATTTGTGGGCTGGGGCTCAAGAAGTGTAGTACTCCATTTTAAAGGAACGTAAAAATCTGGTGGAGTTTTTAAGCCATAGATGGTCAAAAGTTATTCAACTTAGTGATTACCATACTTCATAGTAATCCAGTGTAACATTTTTTCATTGAAAATTCTATTAGTTTATCTATAATAAGCGCTTAAATGAACTTGTGCCAATTATGTGAAATTTTTTGTATATTTTTAAAAATAGCTCAAAAAATTCGATTGTTCTTTGACATTTTATTTTACTAAATAGGCTACAAAGTGTCATATTAGCTTTCCCCTTTTTATTAAGATTTAATTAGAACAGAAACGGAAGCTAACTTTGAAAAGTTCTGATTTTTAATTGTATTAATTTCTCGTTCGTTCCTATGGGAGCTATATGATAAAGTAGTCAGATTTTCATAAAAATTTTACATAAAATTTTTGAATAATATGAAATGGCTATATCTCAAATTTGATCAAACTCTGTTGAAATTAAAAATGTTATAATTTTTTTTTTTTTTAATTTTCCGATCATTCCTATGGCAGCTATATGATGTAGTTGTCCGATCCGGCTCATTCCGATATATATACGAGTGAGAGAATATAGAAGACTAACTACAAAGTTTCATTCAGATATCTTCAAAACTGAGAGACTAGTTTGCCTAGAAACGGACAGACGGACATGGCTAGATCGACTCGGCTGTTGATCTTGATCAAGAATATATATATTTTATGTGGTCGGTGGTGCCTCCTTCACTGCGTTGCACACTTTTGACTGAAATTATAATACCCTGCAAGGGTATAAAAAGGACATTGTTGTCGGAAAATCGCTGAAATGGGTAATTTACCGGATGGGACAGTCAAAGGCATAATACATCATTTTGTTTTCGAAAATCGTGTCGAAAGTAAAGGGAGAACTAATGAACGATTTATTGTTAAAAAGTCACAAAAAATTAAAAAAGAACGGCACCATAAATAGCCACTGAGATGCAGGAAATGACAGGAAAGTCGTGCTGCCCAGAAACCATCCGTCGTATTCTCCGAAATAATGATTTACACGGTTGAGTTGCATGCAAGAAGCCGTTTATAAACAAAAGAAATCGAAAGTGTCCTTTGAAATTTGCAAAGGAGCTCATCAGCAAGTATTCTGGGTTCTGGAATAAAATCTTTTTCGCTAATGAGTCAAAATTTTATATTTTTCGGTCTGATAGAAGTTCCTATGTATGGCAAAAAGCGAATACAGAATACAGCTGCAGGAAAAACATCTAAAATCAACTGTGAAGCATGGCGGTGGCCATGTTATGGTATGGACCTGTATGTCGGCAGCAGGGATTGGAAGCCTTCAATTCTTGAAAACACAATGGATAAACATGTTTATCTTAATATCCTGAAGAATAATTTCGTCCAAAGTGCCGAGAAATTCGGTATTAAAGAAAATTTTTTACCAGGACAATGACCCAAAGCATAAGGCGGGAATCGTTTAGTATTGGCAGTGTTGGCTATTTAGTCCCCACGTTATGAAACCGCCTGCTCAGGTATCAGATCTCAATGTGATTGAGAATTTGTGGTCCAAAATTTGAGAACGCGACATTTCCAACAAAAACGATTTAAAAACGGCGTTGAGTGGAATCAACTCGGATTTATTATTAGTAAATTATATTTGGTCAGTTTTTGGAAACAATATCTGATGAATGCCCATCGCACTCAGCTATGCACAAATCCGCCCGTTTTTTTGCATTTTTTATCATTTTTTTGAGTGTTTCCGTATGACACCAAGCACGTGTCAAATATTAGTAAGCGCGTAAAGCGAAAAATTCCAAAATTCTTTTGAACCGATTCGATGCGTTTACTATGGACGCCATACTGAGGGCTTCTAAAATAGGACGAACTAAAGAGGTATATAAGTATTTAGTAACATAGGGGTCGTTGAATTCTCTCGACCACCGTTTAATAAATCCAAGCACACCCCTGGCTCTGTTCAACATAGACGACATATGATCAATAAAGTCAACTTTTGGGTCCAAGCGGACGCCTAAATCATCAACTGAAGTAATAGTTTCCAAAGAACATAATTTCAGTGTGTAAGTACGTCATTAGCTTGCATTTGGAGCCATTTAAGTTTAATAAGATTAGGCATTACCATATTTAAAAAATTATTAAGATCTGTTTGTAAATCCGACTGGCAGGCGATGTCCTTGTATTGCACGCAAAGATTGACGTCATCAGCGTATATAAGCACTCTGAAGTTAGTCAAAACTTTGGGCAGGTCATTTATAAACAAAGTTAACAATAAGGAACCGAAATGGCTCGCTTGCGGAACGCCAGACGCAACCCTTAGAACATTAGATAGACTATTTTTAATGAGTACCTTTTACGTCCTGCCATTCAGATAACTTGAGATCCAATTAAGATCAACTGAAAATCCCATTAAACATTAACAGAGTCAAATGCTTTACTGAAATCATTATACATTACGTCTGTCTAAAAGTTAGTCTAAGTTTTGCGACTGATTAAGGTTAGTTGGTTAGGTTGTCAAGTACCCCCATAATGGTAATGGTAATGGTGTAATGGTAAAATTATGCTGCTTTGTACTTTCTTAACATGTCAACCGCACATTAGGCAAAGAAGTTATTCAAGAAAAACACCAGTTACCGCAAGATGGCACACCCTGTAATAAAAAGAATTCCTTCTTTGAAGAAATAATTATTAAGTCATATTATTTTCGTATATCAGTGTATTTCTCTAAATTGTAAATTGGTCATAAATTTAACTTTACCATTGTTACATACAGTTCAACTTTTGAATTAATTATTTTAAAACCTGCAACTATTTTATAATTAAAAAATGTGTCAAAAGAACACTAAAATTTTTTCATATATCTTATTAATCTGAATTTTTTTTGTTATAATTGTTCTACATCATCTGGCAGTCCCGCTTAGGTAACTAAGGCTTTATTAAGCGACTCTTGGAAGATTTTGGCGCCAGTGTCTCCGTCAAGGCATAAATATCACTTTAAAAAGCTGCGTTTGAATTAATTTTCCATATTTTGTCCAAATTCGAATGGTAAATATCTGCGTCATATTTTTCGTATGATCTTATTTTGTTTATATGACATTTTCTTCCAGTGGGAAAAAAAACATTTCTTTAAAAAAAAATTAGGACGCTTAACGCTTTAACCAATCTATACGTTTATTTTTTCAAAATGTAGTCCTCACCATAATAAAGATTTTATTTAAATAATAGGATTCTATTGTACTGAATGTGCCAATAGGAGTGAAATGTACGCACATATCTTGTTATTAATCTCAATTTTTAGCTTAAACTATCCTATATCACCTGGCAGCCCCGCTTAGGTAACTAAGGTGACTAAGGCTTTCATTCATTTTCCATATTTTGTTCAAATTCGAATTGTAAATACGTCTTAGTTGGGTATATTTTTCGTTTGATCTGATTTTGTTTATATGACTAAATATTGAACCGAAAATTTTTTTGGAATACCCAATTTCTCGGCACTTTGGATCAAATTATCCTTCAGGATATTAAGATAAACATGTTTATCCATTGTGTTTTCAAGAAATGTAAGGCTTCAGATCCCTGCTGCCGACATACAGGCCCATACCATAACATGGCCTCCGCCATACTTAACGGTTGGTTTTAGATGTTTGTCCTGCAGCTCTGTATTCGCTTTTCGCCATACATAGGAACGTTCATCGGAGCCAAAAAAATAAAATTTAAACTCATCAACGAAATGACTTCATTCCAGAATCCAGAATCCTTGCTGATGTGCTCCTTTGCAAATTTCAATCGACACTCTATTTCTTTTGTTAATAAACGGCTTCTTTCGTGCAACTCAACCGTGTAAGTCATAATTTCGGAGAATACGACGGATGGTTTCTGGGCAGCAAGACTTCCCTGTCCTGCATCTCAGTGGCTATTTATGGTGCCGTTAGTTTTGGATTTTTGTGACTTTTTTTTAACAATAAATCGTTCATCGATTCTCCCTTTACTTTCGACACGATTTTCGAACACAAAACGACGAGAATGTCCTTTTTATACCCTTGCAGGGTATTATAATTTCAGTCAGAAGTTTGCAACGCAGTGAAGGAGGCACCTCCGACTATATAAAGTATACATATTCTTGATTAGGATCAACATCCGAGTTGATTTAGCCATGTCTGTATGTCCGTTTCTACGCAAACTAGTCTCTGTTTTAAAGATATCTGAATGAAACTTTGTAGTTAGTCTTCTATATAATCTCACTCGTATATATGTCGGAACAGGCCGGATCGGACGCATATATAGGAATGCCATAGGAATGATCGGAAAATTTTTACAAAAAAATTATAACAATTTCAGTTCTCAACATAATTTAATCAAATTTGAGATATAGCCATTTCATATTATTCTACAATTTTGTGTAAAATTTTATGAAAATCGGACTACTTTATCATATAGCTCCCATAGGAACGATCGAGAAATTAATACAATTAAAATTTATAACTTTTTCAGTTTTCAACAGATTTTAATCTGCACTAATCGAACTTCTTCGTTCACTTAATATAAAGTGTAGGGCTGAGAATGCCCATTCGACGGAAACTTGCGTTGCAGGTGTAGCCAGCACAACCTGCGCTAATAATAATAATAATATTTCTCAACTTGACACACTCAATTCAAGATCGCAATTAATATATTTCGTCTGCAATACAGACGCTTAACGACTTGCTTGCCTATGCGTGTGAGTGTATACCAATACATATGCAAAAGACTTTTTGCTTCACTGAACACGACAAAACGGTCTTGGAACAACCAGAACAAAACATAATTAAAAAAAACGGTTTCGCTCTGAGCGCGAGCGAGCTCATTTAAGCACTCTTATTTCGGTTGAGTTTCTGAGTTTTTTCGTAAAGTGTCAGGAAAAGACACTTATTTGCAGACAACGAGAAACGGTCGACAGTTATTTGCGAGCTCTGGTTTTCAACCGATTTTTATTAAATTTGAGATAAACCTATTTTAAAATTTTATGAAAATCGGACGATTATATCATATGGGTGCCATACAAACGCTCGTTATATATAGAGGGAAAATGCAAAACTGTGAATGTAAAACTGCAATTATAATATGTATATGTGAACGATATGAAAGCAGGCATTGCTTAATTGTTTTTTAACATAAATATATATAATTTATATTGTATTGATTCCTACTGATCGAAATTCTATCTGCAAGGGTATATAAACTTCGGCGTGCCGAAGTTATCTCGCTTCCTTTTTTTTTTTTTTTTTTTTTCACGATTGTATTGAAATGATAAGATATTGTAATAATAAGATTTATTTGTTTATATCATTTAAGCCGAACCTTTGCCACTAATGGATCTGTGCCGAAGAACAATACGACAAAAATTGGTCGTGCGAACTTGGAGGAACGTATACAACAACTTCAGCTTCCACAATCGATGAAAACCTATTTGTTGTATAAAAATCGAAGATAATACTTTTATTAGGAAGAATATACCATTTTTATTTTTACTGTATGTGATGAAAGCAGTAAAAACTAAATGTGTTAGCATATAATAGTCTTAGATCAATGTTAGTTCGATATCCCTCACTAACGTAAAAATCATAAAATTAGTTACAAATGGAATATTGTGTATTAAGATGCAAGAAAAAACAAAAAAAAAACAGTATATATTATATGGCATCTCATTTTGCATTAAATTAATTCGAGAATTGTTTTTCCTCAAACAATACGATACGAAAAAACACTCACCTCGTGGTTTATATAATAAAACCACATTTGTAAAATAAATTGTGAACTTACTGCTAAAACGACAGTTGTTTTAGTTAACATACACGTATATTTGGTATTGATAAGCTTTATCATTAAAATGCTCGAAAATATGTGATTGGATTACATCAGGATTTTTTTGCGTAACTTGAGAAAATTTTGTTAGTTAATTTATCACACCTACTTTTTTCGTATTTCTCCGTACTGTTTTGGGTAGAAAACCTATAAATCTGAATAAGTTTGGTAACATGTTTAACACAATTTTCTAGCTCACTCGTGCTAAAAATCTTAATCGGATTTTCTGAAATAAGAACTGCCGGTTCTATGAAGCCCTGATTCTATCGCATGCTGAACTTTAAAACACTGTATAAGTAGGCGAGTTAATTTTTAACATATGTACTTATGAAGCATTTAAGATTGTCATCTAAGTTAATTATAATACTTTACGACATTTAATAAAAGACTTCATGTAACATACACATTTAGGATTATTATTGTTGCGGAGGTAACAAATAAAAACACTAAATTTTTTCGTGGCGAATGGTTCATAGGGCATTATGGGTAAGGAACCAAAGAATAGTATAGTGCGGGAGTTGATGGGAAATTTTGAAGCACAACTCATTTCTTTAGGGACGAGCAACAGTCTACCGTCATCAATCTTTATTCTTTATTCTTTATTCTTTATTCTTTATTCTTTATTCTTTATTCTTTATTCTTTATTCTTTATTCTTTATTCTTTATTCTTTATTCTTTATTCTTTATTCTTTATTCTTTATTCTTTATTCTTTATTCTTTATTCTTTATTCTTTATTCTTTATTCTTTATTCTTTATTCTTTATTCTTTATTCTTTATTCTTTATTCTTTATTCTTTATTCTTATTCTTTATTCTTTATTCTTTATTCTTTATTCTTTATTCTTTATTCTTTATTCTTTATTCTTTATTCTTTATTCTTTATTCTTTATTCTTTATTCTTTATTCTTTATTCTTTATTCTTTATTCTTTATTCTTTATTCTTTATTCTTTTTTTTTATTTATTCTTTATTCTTTATTCTTTATTCTTTATTCTTTATTCTTTATTCTTTATTCTGGAACTAGACATCTGCATGACTGCACTCTCAATGTACTTTGAAATCAATGTACTTTGAAATAGTTGAGTGAGGCTATGGGCACAATGAAACGAATTTGTTTGAAATAGAAAGAAAAAATTTGCCAAAGACAAAAAACTTCGAAGCATTCTACGCATTCAGGTGCGGGTGTTAAGTGAGAGCGTTGCTATGGACGAATTACGCTTCAAAGAAGCTGGCGATTCAGTATGTATTTTAGTGTGTGTTTAGTTGATTTTGTTTTGTTTATATTGTTGTTTTAATGTATATAATTTATGTATTGTGGTTGATGATTTATTTGTATATTTTTTTTCGTGCTTAGATTAATAAGTTTATTTGTGACTTATCCATAAGTGTTTTTTTGTGTGTTTTGAATACCCTTTCAGGGTATTATAATTTCAGTCAGAAGTTTGCAACGCAGTGAAGGAGGCACCTCCGACCATATAAAGTATATATATAGTCGATCTTGACATGTCCGTTTGTAAGTCTGTCCTTCAGTCCGTTTCTACGCAAACTAGTCTCTCAGTTTTGAAGTTTCCCATAGGAACGATCGAAAAAATAATAATTATACACTTAATTATAACTTTTTCAGTTTTCAACAGATTGTCATCAAATTTGAGATATAGCCATTTTATATTAATCCACAAGTTTCTGTTAAATTTTATGAATATCGAACGAATTTATCATATAGCTGTCATTCAAACGATCGAACGAAACGAAAGGAAAATGAAAAAATGTGAATGTAAAACTGTAACTATAATATGTATAGGTTAAAGAAATGAAAGCAGGCATTCATTGTTTTTTAACAAAAGTATATATAATTTATATTGTATTAATTCCTATTCATCGAAGTTCTATCTGCAACGGTATATATGTAAACTTTGGCGCTCCGAAGTTAGCTTCCTCTCTTCCTTCAGATTTAATTATAAGTCTTTCAATTTAATTGTATAGGTTGCAAAAGGTGCATTGGATGCAAAAGAGAAGCTGTCCAGTGGAATGTATAGCTTAGTTTTTGCCCTCGAACATTATTTTATGTATAATATTGTAACGAAAACCGCTAGATTAGAATAATCCACGATATTTGTAACCGTTGGCAACGCGAGAAACCGCGAAATCCCTTATAGGCGCAATTATGAGAGCTTTTTGACAGCCAGAATGCCTGGCCTCTAAGCGCTCTCGATTTTCTTCTCTTCTTCTTATGGACGTGTCCGGAAAAGCACGCGTCTGATCACCAATAAAGAAAAGCTAAGTAATAACCACCTTTCCACATGGGGCCAAGTGTAGATTTGGACGAGTGAGTGGGTCAGACCGGGTTCTAGGCAGCCACACCTAATAAAAAGTTCCGCTCGGCTTTCCGTAATGAACTCTGCCTGTGGCCCAACAACAACCACGACAGAAAAATTCGTTACAATATCTTGTACTACCAATAAGAAAAATAAATTAATTAACAAGAAACAACATAAAAAATTTGATTTCGCTATGTTTATTCTTTATTCTTATTTCATACATATGACAAGCATTCGGCTGCAGTCAAAAATATACGACTCATTGATTCGCATTTTCATTCTCTCAATTAGTTTTCTTCCTTTCTCTCTTGCGCCATTGAGTTTAACGTAAGCGCATTTTGTCACTCAAACCGGCTTCACACTCGACTTCACTCAATTCAGTTTTCGTATTGTGCAGCTATTGCTATTTTTCAGCAGTCCAATTTGGAACCCAGGAATTTTGAACGTCTACGATTATCTTACAAAGTTGCAATCAACCAAAGGATATCTAGAAGCCGTGGCATGAACATGGGTCAAAAAATGAGTGATGTAGTCAAAAAAGTTGTAATGATTCACAATCTACCTTCAAACCAATAATACCAAGAGAGTTACATGATGATTTTTTCAAACCAGCACGCATAGATATTTTGCTTAATATGCCGCCAGTTTCTAGAGAACTACAACTAAAACATTCATGGAATTCTGAAGATAGGTCATTGAACATTTTTGTAAAAGATGACGACAAATTAACGTTTCACAGACACCCAGTCGCGCAAAGTACAGATTGTATCCGCGGCAAAGTCGGTCTCACAAAGGGATTGCATATTTGGGAAATTTATTGGCCAACAAGACAGAGAGGAACCCATGCTGTCGTTGGCGATCTACAGCTGACGCGCCTTTAAATTCAGTCGGATATCAAAGCTTGGTGGGGTCGACTGAACAAAGTTGGGGATGGGACCTTGGCAGAAATAAGTTGTACCATGACTCCAAAAGCTGTGCAGGTGTCACATATCCAGCTATTTTAAAAAACGACGAAGCTTTTTTAGTTCCAGATAAGTTCTTAGTAGCTTTAGATATGGACGAAGGAACACTCAGCTTCATCGTTGACCAGCAATATCTACATAGGTATTGCATTTAGGGGACTCAGAGGAAAAAAATTATATCCAGTTGTATCAGCTGTCTGGGGTCACTGTGAAATAACAATGCGTTACATCGGTGGATTAGATCGTGAGTATCAATTAATTTATTATTATATATATAAAAAAGGAAGCTTAAGTAGTTTTTTTAATTTATTTAATTTTCCATTATTTAATGAGAAGACAGTGGGTGTGTGTTATAGTTGTATTTAATTTTGTTGGCAGCAGTGGTGCCGCATTCATGGTTAATTCATTTCTGAATTTTAACGAAGATGTTTTATATCTAGAACCGCGCAACTGCGCTGCCAAAATGTACATGCTTGTGTATGCATAAGTCGAATCGTGGGAATGCTGACTTCTGCATTTATTGTCGTCGAAGCTTCCTCTCGGGATCGTATTACGTATTACATTTCAACAAAGTGTTACAGTGTGTGTCCCTTAAGTACTCTTGGTACAGTGGGCATTAGTTATTCATGTACATACTACATCTCCCAGCTTTTATAAAATAAGTTATTATTTATTTATTCATTTAATTACTTTATTTTTTAAATATTCTTATCGATGTCAAACACGAGCAAACGCAAATAATGTTGTTTTTATCAAAAAAAAGTCATAAAAAATGGCATGTTTTGTTTTAATGTCGATCTCTTAAACAAAAGCATTTTGCTTTGACTTTTGTTTTCTAATATCACATAGAAAACGCAAGGAGTCAATATAAAGTGGAGAAGGACATATGCGATCATCAATATTCGTACAGTTTTAGTTTGAATTATCGCTTTCCAAACTGTCGCGTTCGACCGGGACTAAAATTGAATTTAAAAAATAACTACTTAATATTTTAAAATCAAACAAAATACATTATTAAGAGAATTCATTGCGTAATTAATAAAAATGTATTTTACTACAATTTTTCATCACGTTTCGCTGAAATCAGAGCTTAAACTGGTTTTTGCAAATGTAACTTAACGACAAAAAGCGTGCGAACGCAGTACATTTTAGTGAATATCTTGAAAACAAACAAGGGTTCAAAATCGACCTTAGCACCAAATATAGTGCTAACCAAGAGCTATACGTTTCAATTTTTATAAAATTAAAATAAAGTCTTGGCACAAGTGTTTTTTTAGTTTGAATGCGTACGAATGTCACATTCGACACCAGAGAATTGCCCATATATAGACAAATTTTAGAATTGTAAAAAGTTTAAAAATGTTTTATTTATTTATTTATTTTTTTTTTAATCGGACCATTACTATTTATTTAGTTGAAAATGATGAATGAAAATTCTTTAACCTATTCTTATGAATTTTTTGTTTCTTATTCCTATCGTCAGAGATTATAATGTTTTCTCTTTCTCCGATGTGTTCTACAGTGTAGGGCCTTTTATATTTGAAATCTAACTTATGTGCAGTTTCCTTTTAAAGCAAAACAAGAAAGGAAGCTAACTTCGGTACGCCGAAGTTTATATACTCTTGCAGATAGAACTTCGATGACTTGGAATCCAGACAATATAAATTATATATGTATATTGAGGTTAAAAAACAAGAAAGGAAGCTATCTTCGGCACGCCGAAGTTTATATACCGTTGCAGATAGAGCTTCAATGACTAGGAATCCATACAATATAAATTATATCTATGTATATATATAAAAATGCTCTGTTCGTGTCTACTTCCTTTATAGACTTGAAAAGTTTTGAACCGTTTAAGCCCAAATTTTGACACAACATGCGTTGAGGTTCCAGCTCGGTTATTGTCTACTTTTGATGTTGATAGCTTATCTGCGTTTGCGAATATATCAGTTTTTTTTTTAGCGTTTCCCCGTGCCCTTACTGCTGCGTCCTCTACAGGCAGCCAGCTGAACTTTCAATACGTCTAGAAAATTCTGACATGACAATGGAATTGACAAAAGGAATTTACAATGAAACTTTGATAAGGATTGAAGAAAAGAAAAAAATATTTTAAAAATTTTGAAAATTATTCTTTTTTGTTTGACTTATTTCTTATGCGTGCAACCACAATATGCCACAGAGAAACGTGGCAGGGTACTGTCAGGCTTTCAAATTCAAAAAAGAAACAAAAGGATTGTGTTCCGCTTCCAACAAGTATTACAGAATTAAATGAATTTGAAAATTATTCGTTTTTGTTTGACTTATTTCTTATGCGTGCGACCACAATATGCCACAGAGAAACGTAGCAGGGTACTGTCAGGCTCTCAAATTCAAAAAAGAAACAAAAGGATTGTGTTGCGCTTCCGGGAAAGTGAAATTGTCTCAACTTGAAGCACAAGCCTCTGCACACTCTATTCGCTGGATCTACTGCTGAATCGTAGCATTTCCTGTCAAACATCCCCAACATATTGAAAGAAGAAAATGGAGATTCAAATTTTATTTTTTTGTTCAGTTTCAGTAAGAAACGAAGTCATGCCACCCAAGAAGTCGAGTTTGGGTCGTCGTACTCGCAATACAGAAGCAAAAAGACGTTATATTACGAATATGACTGACGAAGAGCGGGCCTCCATCCGAGAGACTGAGCGGCTGAGAGCAATGAAGATTCACAACGCGGAATCAGCAGAAAGACGGGCAGATAGGCTTGAGAGAAAACGATTGAGAGTTAGGCAGTTGCGTCGATTTGATTCACTCTCAAAATAATGAACGGGACAGGGCAAGGGTAGCTGAAGCGCGTTTACAGCTTGCAGCAGATCAAAACCTGCAATACAATCGACTTGCATTCCGATATAATCCAACTGTTGATTATAGCTCGAATCGCAATGTCGTTATTGGCCGGATGCATCAGGTCTGCACATACTGTCAGGCTCTCAAATTCAAAAACGAACCAAAAGAATTGTGTTGCGCTTCCGGGAAAGTGAAATCGCGGAGAATGGAGAAACGAAGAATATTGTATACCAACATAATACAGAATTAAATGAATTTAAAAATTATTCTTTTTTGTTTGACTTATTTCTTATGCGTGCAACCACAATATGCCACAGAGAAACGTGGCAGGGTACAGCTAGTATTATATATTTATGTTTAAAAACAATGAAGTAATACCTGCTTTCATTTCATTCACCTATACATAATATATTAACAGTTTTACATTCACAGATTTGCTTTTTTTTCCTCTACATCTAACGATCGTTTGTATGGCACCTATATTATATAATCGTCAGATTTTCATTAAAGTTGACACAAAATGTAAGACTAATATAAAATGGGTAAAGGTAGGTAGGTTACAGTAGTGAGGTCCGATACTAGGGCCTCCAATTAGAGCTAAGCTCGTTTTTGATCCACTCCCTCTGTTTGTTGTTGGTCAACACTATCAGTACCATCCAGAGTCAGTAAGAAAGCCTAGGATTGCCGAAACTTTCAGATTTCCCCTATATTTCCCAGTGACTCCATCTGCTAGGCACCAAAGTGGCGAAGTCTGATGTGGTTTAGCGCTGGGCAGAAGCAGAGCAGATGTTCCGGTGTCTCTTGCTCTATAGGTTGCTTACAGCTTCTACAGATTGCCTTGTATGGCAGTCCCAACTTCATTGCGTGTGAACCAATCGCCCAATGTCCTGTGGTGACTGCCGCGATCCTGCTTATATCCCGCTTGCTGTTGGATAGCAGTTTATTGGTTCGTTTTTTTGTCGTACCTCGGCCAACATTCCCTTGACCTTCTGTGATCGCTTTTACTTAGCCATTTTTTTTTAGCTATCTGCTTAAAGTGGTCATGGATCTTTGTCTGGATCGCGCTTAGGGAGATCGGTAATTTGAAGTCTGTACTTAGCCCTGCCGAGCCTGCACGTGCTAGTTCGCCTGCCTTCTCATTTCCTGGGATCTCGTTGTGTCCCGGTACCCATGTTACTTGTACCTTATTTTTGTCGGCAAGTCTATTAAGGGCCTTTTTGCATTCTGCCACTAGTCGTGAGTTCGTTTTCACGGCAGCTAGGGATTTTATAGCCGCTTGGCTATCCGAGTAGATTCGCACTCTGCTGCCCCTGAGGTCCTGCCTTAAGGAAAGTTCGACTGCTTCCCTTATGGCTAGTAACTCAGCCTAGATTAAAAGTCTTTTCAATTCCCCAATTTTCAGCGTAGATCCCAGCCCCTACGCCGCAGCTCATTTTTGAGCCATTGGTGTAGAGGGACAGCTCGTTCTCCTCTACTACTTTGCCCCTACTGCAGTCTTCCCTTGATGGGTATGAGGTCGAGAATACGTTCCCGAATTCCATCTCCGCAATCATGTAGTCGGTCTTGACGTTTGTATTTATGGCGCTGCTCTCAAGAATCTTGTCGTGCCCGGCGCCGTATTCCCTCCAGCAATTGCTCGCCTTCAGTCTCACTTCGCTCTGTGCTGCAATGTCCTTCACGAACAGTTCTATTGGCATGCTGCGGGGAGTGAGGGCATTGCACCCACGGTCCCCACACTCGCTGCCCGTTGTATCCGTGTCAGCTTCGTTCTGTTGTATATCCTAGTTAGTGCCAGCCACCATACTAGGTCCCCGTATGTTAGTATTGGCCGTACGACTGCTGTGTAGAGCAATATAATTATCTTTGTGTGCAGTCTCCATTTGTTCCCACACATTTTCCTGCAGATGTAGAATGCAATGCTTGCTTTCCTTACTCTTTCTGCAATGTTTCCTTGCCATGAGAGCTTTTTATCCAGAATTATTCCTTCATGCCGTTAATACTGGGCATGATGAAGGGTGGTATCTTAGTTCTACGTGTGAAGAGCATAAGCTCTGTCTTGGTGGGGTTGATACCTAGTCCGCACGTTTTTGCGCATCTATTTAAGCGACCTAGCGCACCCGTCATTATTTCGCTAATAACGTCAGGGTATGGTCCTAATACTAGCAGTACTACGTCGTCTGCGTATGCAACTGCTTTAACTCCACCCGTATTGAGATCTGTTAATATGGCGTTCATATTTGTGAGCCAGAATAGGGGCGATAATACCCAGCCCTGTGGTGTGCCTCTCTTCACAGTCCGCGTGAGGTGAGTGCCACTCAGTTCGGCTGTGATCGTCCTGCTCCTTAGCATGACCCCGATCCACTCTCTGATGCCTCTCTCAATACCTTGAAAGTTGAGTGAGCCCAGGATAGAGTCGGAGTT